TTTTTTCTTTCTTCGCTTTGTTGTGGTTACACGAGATCCGACAATCTGATTGGTCTTTATACAACCGGGTGACATCACCTAGGGTGAAAATTAGCAACACTCTAAACTATTATATTATTTAATATATTGAGTTGTAGAAAGATTATTATATTGGGATTTTGGAAATTAATTAATACTCGTATTTACGCACACCTGTGCACTATTTTGAGTACCTGTGCGTTATTTCGGGACGCACATGTGCGATATTTCGAATCAATATTGCCAATAATTTAATAGACATGTGCGCTATAATTATATTTATCGTGCAAACTCTTAGGGAGGGTGCGTTATTTCGGGACGCACATGTGCGTTATTTTGAGTCAAATAGGCGATTGTTAAAAAAATGGCAATTTCGAAATAACGCACATGTGCGTTATTACACGCAAATATGGTAACAATAATCTAGATATGCTTATAATTTATTACGCCAAATAAAAAACATACTGGTTAAGTAAATTGGCAACAAATAAATTATTTATTTACATCTTGTAATGATCAATGCTTTAATTCTTTGAAATAATCATTTAATTCAAAAAATAGGTATTTAAAAAAGTATCACAAAAGGCACTCACATTACTTTTGTTACCCAATAAAAAATAAACAGCATTATTAAAAACCTTGTTACTATCAATGCTTTACATGACAAATTGATAAAATGTATTTAAATTGATGCATATAAATTGTATAATTTTTGCATACTATTCTATAAACCCTTGCCGATTGCAAGGATTGAGACAATTGAAACGACTGAGGACAATTGAGGACAATTAAAACAAATGAGACACATGAATAAATAATCGATGTAATTGAAAGATTTATAATTCCAAGCTTAATTTAACAGAATCCAAATTACCGCATAGAGATTTTCTAAAAACTTGAAAAATATCATAATCATCGACAAAAACATCACAGCTTTGTCGAATTGATTTTTCATAACTTCCTTTTCTACATCTACTTTTCTTGTTTTCCTTGATTTCA